TTTATCGGTAACGAAACATTTATAATACACTAAAATCTGATTAAGAGCACAACTCATGAAGTAATTATCAGAAAACCATTAGAACGTTTTGTATACAAAACTTTTAATATCATGGATTTAGCTGTTCAAGTCATAAAAATTCATTGAAAATCAATATATTTTTCGTCTCAAGATCTTAAACTCTGTGTATCAATCTGAAGTCAATCGTATGATAACTTTAGCCTTTAGAGCGTCACAAAGTGATCAAGGGCCATAACTTTGGCAGTAATTATCGGAAATCGTTGAAAATCAATAGGATTCTTCGTCTCATGACCTTAAACACTGTGTATAAATTTAAGGTCAATCGGATATTAACTTTGGCCTCTAGAGTGTCTACAAGATTTCTTGAAGTGATCAAGGGCCATAACTCTGGTAGTAATTATCAGAAATTGCTGAAAATCAATAGGCTACATCGTCTCATGACCTTAAACACTGTGTATAAATTTAAAGTCAATCGAATATTAACTTTAGCCTCTAGAGCATCGACAAGATTTTTTGAAGTGATCAAGGGCCATAACTCTGGCATTAATTATCGGAAATTGTTCAAAATCAACAGGTTTCTTCATCTCATGACCTTAAACACTGTGTATAAATTTAAAGTCAATCGGATATTAACTTTGGCCTCTAGAGTGTGCACAAGATTTTCAATGTGATCAAGGGCCATAACTCTGGCAGTAATTATTGGAAATCGCTGAAAATCAATAGGCTTCTTTGTCTCAAGACCTTAAACACTGTGTATAAATTTAAAGTCAATCAGATATAAACTTTAACCTCTAGAGCGTCCACAAGCAGATTGACGGACCAACGGACGGACGGGGGCGACGACAATATACGACCACATTTCAATGTGGGTGTATAAAAACAATATCGCAACGACGATAGTGCTACACAAAAGAGCTGTTCTTGGTAAAAACAATTAATCTCTCTAGACTATTTTTCAACATTTTAATAATTCAGCAATATAATCTCATGATCTAGTAGAAGGATGATGAATTTTTGGACAGCAAATCGTAAAAACTAAATAGTGTAGTACTTATGTACATCTGTCTATACTTGACAAACGAATCAACCAATATTTCAAAAAGACAAAAAAAAATAGTATATGAGCGTAAGGTCACTATTGTAGCATACTCCCCGCAGTGTTTCGTTTGATTAGACCTAATTCCACTCAACACTGCCATAATGAAAGCAAATTTCTGTTCCAAATTATGACTGGTCAATAGTCCGATTAAAAACCAATACCTAACTGCGTAACACTATCATTCGAGTTTAAACAGAGCTCCAAATATGTTTACATGACGTTACGTCATGATTCACAAAATTTATTACGCCCAATTACCCAGTGCATAGCTGAATATTGCAGAAAAACTAATTGTGCAATAAATGAGGCTATCAAAACGGCTACAATGTAAACAATACTGTTTGGAGACGAACAATACTTTCACCGTTTTTAATACCTTAAATAACTGTCCAAATTTTAGGGAAGACCCCAGATTAAACGAAAGACTGTACTTAGGAGTGATTTGATTGAACGGGAAGAATAGACACACTCACCCAAAAACATAAGTATTTGAAGTCAATCCAGCAATGGCCAGAGCGGTATTTCTCGGGCTATTGCTTCAGGAATATGCTATTGTAGTTTCTTTCGGATAACTGGCTACTAAACCGCATTTTATTCATGCAAAAGGCGGGGAAATGAACAGCTGATTTATATAGCGCACGTACTCCATGTACAGAGGCATGTCCACTGCGCATACAATTAAATTATTTTAATTAATCCTGATAAAAAGATGAGTTTTAAGTCTTAATGTAAAACAAAGAAAGGGTTTAGTGATGATTTAATGATCTCTGGAAGATTGTTCCACAGATTAGGCGCATTCACTGAGCACGATCCGTATCCAAATGATTTTAATTTGCACCTTGAGCAACACAACTGATGAAGGTGTGTTCGGCCGGAGGTTTGCATAAGGTTAGGGTATATTTGAGCTAAGCCATTCACACACTGATACGTCAACGACAGACTTTTGAAGATGATTCTTTCACGAATTGGCAGCAAATGGAGTGATTTCAGAACAGGAGTAATATGAGAGTATTTTGATGATCTGGTAAGAATTCAAGCTGCGGTATTTTGTACAAGTTGATTTTTTTTTAAATATTGGCACTAGATGTTTCTACTTACAAGCTGTTACAGTAGTCAACCCTTGAGAATACCAAAGAACATAAAAGTGTAGCAGCTGCTTCCTGGCTAATAAAGTGTCTTATATATGGCCAATGTTCCTGGATCGAAGATAACAGTTTCGACAAATTTCACTAATGTGACTGTCCATGCACAAATTGGACCCTAAGAGGACACCTAACTTCTTCACAGTGTCTCATGGTACAAATATTGCATCTCGTACAACCATATCATTTGAACTTGTATTTTTCAGATGTGTATTTGGACCACATAAAATACATTCTGCTTTAATTAATTCAATTAAATTTAATTTCAACATATTTCTTGTCATACTATCTTTAATCTTAGAACTAGTATTCTAATTCTATGCTTTAATGTCATGTGTACAATTAGGGGATGGAACAGTTTTTGAAAGGGAATAATTTGCGATCAGCTGTGTATCATCTGCATAGTTGTCCTAAATTCTTAGTATACATTACAGAAAAGACAGGTCCAAGGACTGATCCTTGTGGAACTCCCGAATCATCTGGACCGGCCCTACACAGGGTTGCTGGAAGTCAGTTGCTTGGGGCATTATCTGGCCTAATTATCCAGGCAATGTATGATTTTATTGGAAAAATGAAGTAAAAAATGAAGTCATTTTCTTCAAGTTCGACCATCAAATTTAATATGAAAGAAATCTGTGCCAATCATTTTGTCAAAACCAAATATTAGTATTAGTATCCTCAACTTCCATTATTAATAGAATTGTCCTCAGCCCCGCAGTGGGTGAGATATAGCATCATGAAATTTATATGCTTTAGCATATAGCAAAAGCTACGTCTCAAAATAAATTCCTCACAGCCTCAAATGGTTTCGGAAAATTTTAACAGTCATATATACTCAGCCAAATTAAAAACTTGACACTCAGGATTTTTGGGACTAGACTTTTAATATTTGGTTTAAGGCAACTATTTTAGTGTTATGTTGTGCACAGAAGACCTTGACATCAACAGAAAGCAAGAATACGTCTCGCCGAAAGTCCTTGACATTGATAACGTTCGTGATGTCACAGTACCCCCCAAAATGAAATTCACAGACTTAGAGAACAATAGGAATAAAGTGTTTAGTAACGGTTGTGGACTCCTCTAGCGTATCGTACTGCCACATAACGTCTTCTCATGGATCTCAGAACATTAGTCAACACTACCCGAGGAAGACGTCGCCACTGCTCAGCAAGAGCATGTTGAAGGTCCTGCAACGTCAGTGGTGGATTCACTTGCTGACGAACACGTCAACCCAGTTCGTCCCAGATGTGTTCAATAGGATTAAAGTCGAGGCTAAGCGACGGCTAATCCAGGATTTGGACACCGGCATTTCTTAAAAAATTCTGGGTAGCAATTGCTGTATGGGGTCGAGCATTGTCTTGTTGAAACGTTAGTCCAGGTCCATGTCTCTGCATAAACGGAAGAAGTACAGGTTGCAAAATCTGATCCCTGTACTGGACAGCATTTAAGTTCCATTGGACAACAACAAGAGAAGAACGTTCATGTGCACAAAAAGAACCCCAAACCATGACGCTGCCGCCACCAAATGGGTCAACTTCTCTGACGCATACTTGAGCGTAACGTTCACCTCGTCTGCGGTACACTCGGCCCCTGCCATCAGCAAATCTCAAAGTGAATCGAGAGTCGTCACTAAAGACAACCGAATTCCACTGTCTTTGAGTAAATCTTATGTGTCTTGTGGCCCACACAAGTCGGTTACGGCGATGAATAGGTGTCAATATTGGTCCATTATAGGGCCTCCGAGCTCGAAGACCAGCAGCCTGCAAGTGATTTCGAACAGTTTGTGCAGTTACCCTTCCACCAAACATCTCTCTACTTGTGGAGGTTGCAGTGACAAATCTGTTTCTAAGATGACGTAATCGTATTGCTTGATCTTCCTGGAGTGACGTCACACGTGGCGCTCCCGCCCTTGGACGGTCGGCAATAGTTCCAGTTTGAAGCACTCTCATTCTAAGATTAATTATTTGTCTGGCGTGAACAATTAAAGGCTCTTGCAACAGTGACCACAGACTGACCAGCATAGAGCCTTCCTATAGCATGTAGACGTTCTACATTTGAAAGGCGCGGCATTTTCTAACAAAGATGAAAATAACAATTTTAATTTGTTTTTCCAGTTCAAGTTACGTGTGCGTGTTCAGTTTAAGCAAACTTGCATCGATTGACCTCACAAGTTTGTGTTTGCACGTGTTTTTCAGGTTTTTCATCTTTATATGCTCAAAAGTCACATGATCCACGTGACTATACAATTTTATCAAATTAAAGGCTTCTTACTACTTACTATCATTAGAAACACTTTAAAATTTTTTTGACTTACCAGAAAAAAAAATTGTTGAAATTCATCAGTGTCAAGTTTTTAATTTGGCTGAGTATATATATATTGACAAGATCATTCATAAAAAAATAATTAAAAAAAATAAAATATCAAGAGGCAATTTATGGGAAACATTTGAATTTAGGGAATTTTTTTTTAAAAAATGATGTTTTTTTAACTCTAAAATGGCCATAGCTGGTTCTCCGTAACTACAAGGTTGGTGACCCTCATATTTCATGTGGGGTATACGGGGTACCCAATAACCAAATCTGAAAAATCGCCCGACACCATTTGTGCCGTTTTTTCTAAATTTTGCATGATTCTCTCGCAAACTCATTCTTAAACATTCTGGATCTCATGTCAAACAATTATGGCAAAAATTTCCCATCTTACTTGCCTTAAATTTATATGAATATACATAAATTACCTGTCTAAGGATCTATTTGTATCGAACTGAAAATAACAAATCAAATAACAATGTTAAATATATCTGCAAAAAACATAATAAATAAGCTTCTTAGATTGTGTTCATATACATTTACATAAGATTATTTTATAAGCTTGTTCAAATTACGTTTACACTGCTAAATAAAGGTAGGTAAATCATGAAACAATTGACTGCTATAGAATTGTACAATTGAATTATAACGCAATATGAGCACAAATAACCTTATAAATTAAGTTTCTAAATCATAAACTTAACAATGAATACCTCTCTAGTTTAACTCTTAAAATGAAATGAAATGAAATGGGGTTTAACGTCCTATGCTTCTGCACCTAACCTGGGCTAATTGAAGACAGGCATACGCCATACAGGGTGCTATGAGGGAAATTTTGCCCTGACAGCGGCGCTACGGCCTACATTTAACTCTTAAATGACCCACAGGTTTGACATCATAACATCATAAAACTCTACGTCATAATGGTCAATAGTGTTAAATTATTGTCATCTGATTAAAAAAAAAAAATGTAAATGGATGAAATGAACTAGACTTAATGCCATTTTCATAAATATGAATTTTATGCCACAATTTATTGTGGAAAATACTGTAATCTAGATATTTCATGCAAAATTCATGTATATGGTGATTTCCATTTTTTTTGGGGGGGGGGGGCTGTTATGAACTAAAAAGAGGTCACAATGCTCACAGAGAACAAGCAATTTTTCGTACAATCAGGGTCATGATCCAGATGTTAAGGTCAAACATGGGTCAATATGGAAAGGAATCGCGATCATTTGGATATAAATATGTTTTAAGTTTCATCAATATCGGCTAAATTTTGTGACCTCTAGAGGGTCGACAAACTTATTATCAAATGCTTATTATTTCTGAAAGGGGAGCGGCCATTATGTCAGACAGTCTTGGTCCGATTTTCACGAAATTTGAACTCAACAGTAATTATGGTGTAATGATGAACAGTTTTTAAAATCAAATAAAAAGTGATTTTTCGTACAATCTTGGTATTACATGCTTCTTATACTATTTGCGTAAAGGGGAACAGCCATTTTGTCAGATCGTCTGTGTCTGATTTTCAAGAAATTTGAACTGAACCATAATTTTGGTGTAATGGTGACATATTTGAACAGTTTTTAAAATGAAACAACAATTGTAGCCTCTAGAGGGTCCACTATACATGCTTTCAGTCTTACAGAGATACAACAAAACTTATGGCTAAAAATTATAGAATATGGAAAGCTAAATTGGATCAAACTTTTAGGATTTAAACCATTTGTGTAGAGCAATATTACATTGTCTAAGATTTCAATTACGGTACATATTTTTATTTAGGATGCTATGAAGCAAAGACGACGACAATTTCCACAAAATAACGCGAGGCCGAAATGTTGATAGCGATGAAGTGACGGTCAGTTGGAGCAATATTTCTTTTTAAAAGTTATATTTATATTTACTTTGAACACTGTTGCCAGCATGAGAGACTATCTTTGTGTTATATTTTTAAAAGATCTTTTGGGATATTTTTTCAAGTTATTTTACCGTTTGACAGGTAAAAGTCATACTTTTCGTGGAATTTATAGTAATTTAATTGCTACTTTAAACAATTGAATTTTATATCACTGGAATGAATGAATGAAATGGAGTTTAACGTCCTACTTTTCTGCTCTTAACCTGGGCTAATGAAGACGGGCATACGCCATACAGTGTGCTATGAGGGAAATTTTGCCCGGACAGCGGCACTATGGCCTACTCTTATATCGAATTCCAACTGCCAAGGGATCTTTTACGTGCACGCCAATGTGTACACGGGACCTCGGTTTTTCGTCCCATCCGAACGACTAGACAGCTTTCCTTGTCAGCCCCTCTGTCCTGCATCACTGACAAGGGAGAACCACGCCGGAAAATCTGGATGAACTTTCTCGGCCAATGCAGGGATCGAACACCCGACCTCCAGGCTAGCGAGCTAGCGTCTTACCCACTTAGCCACGTGATCCCCCTTATATCACTGGAAAGAACAAGACAATCTGTACATTTTTATAATTAAGTATTTCTTGGTATGTAAAACTGTTTTCCAGTTATTTGCAATTTTGAGGAGAGGGTATCAAAAGTGTGACGTTTTTAAAACATTAACTACCCCCTATTGTGTAATTAATTTGACGAAGTGACGAAGAACTATGTACTAAGAATAGGTTGGGGAAAATACCTCAAAGGCGTTATATTACGCCCTACACACAGTGAGTGGCAGTTGTCCAGGACTTAATATAACATCCTACACATGCTGCGATCGTGGGGGAATTCCCAAGGGATTCCCCCAAGTGACGAACTATGTTCTAAGAATAGGTTGGGGAAAATACCTCCAAGGTGTTATAATACACCCTACACACAGTGAGTGGCAGTTGTCCAGGACGTTATATAACGACCTACGCACTTAACGGGTTAAGATTAACAATAATCCACTATAATCTTTCAGAGGCATTTAGTAACTGGATAGAGCAAAAAACTATTACACATAATTATGGAAAAACAGCTACTTATTTATTTGGGTGACATTTCGAAGAGTATTTTCTCAACGTTATCAAGCTAATTCAGTAATACAAAAATTATGAGGCTAATTTATACAGAAAAATATAACAACAATTCCTGAAACCACACAGGACAACAACAACATCAAAGGAGGTGATGTTGTACAAAGACTAATTAACTAGGGTTAAGTGAAGCCATTGGCCTTTAATCATAATTATTCATAATTTTTGTATTACTGTAATAGCTTGATAACGTTGAGAGAATACTCTTCGAAATGTCGGCCAAATAAATAAGTAGATTATTTAATAGTCCACTAATTGGCTTAGGGAAATGGGCCCTGCTGAGTTAATGAACTCTGGGAATGAATGAATGAATGAAATGTGGTTTTATGGCACGTCAGCAATGAACTCTGGGGATAGGACTGCTAATCTGTTAACTGAATCTAGGGTACAATGGGTTAAGAGTTAAAATCAAAAGCAAAAATCTGATATAGTACTTAGTATAACTAATTTGATTCACAAACATCAGCCAGGGATCATAAAAACTAGTTGTTACTCAAACTTAAAGATAGCCACGCTAATAGTGGAAATATCCAGCATGTCTTGAAAAAAATATAGCCATAACAGCAGCTTATTCAACAGGAAAGCTTGAATATTGAATGTTAACTACAAGTTTTTTCAAATACATAATATATCTCTGGATCACCAAGTCCCAGAATAGTGAAAAACAACATATATTCCATGCTTTTCGTAGCTATCTGTCCATCAGGGGTAAGGAAAGTGTTCCTAGTAAACAGGGGTTCCCTGGTGTACACCAGTGAGTGTGTGTGTAAAACAAACTTTCATATATGAAATTTAAAGAAAAGTTCCTGGAAATGGCATTAACCAGGAAACGTCCCACCCTGTCTAACTGTACATAAACATAACCAAATGTTAGTCCCCAAATGACATAGGTAAAATGCTGTATTGACAACATTTAACCCAGTTCTATTACATTTTCAGGGTTTTTTTTTTCAAAGCACAGTATAAGACAATATTCCACCATGTTCTATTAAGATTTTCAAGAAATTAGATCATAGTACCAAGAAAAATCAAAACACACATAAGAGTATTCCTGATATTTTACAACCATTTTGTAAAAGACAGAATTAGGTAGAGAAGTAACACCTATTGTTATTTATATAATCTTACATTATATCGTTGTGTATGTAAAGCTACTCCTCGTTTTCCTGAATATTTATTGTCTAATGTAGTAAAATTATCAAGATGACGTTTAGAGATAGGAACATTCTTCATTACTGTAGATGACCTGAAACACAATAAAACAACAAATCTAAATAACAGAAACACAGAATTAAACATTTGTACTCATCTGGCCTGGAAATAACAATTTTACTTGTACCAAACATAATGTCAAGCACTAACAAAGTTATTTTTGTGTCAGACTTATTTTAACAATACTAATAAAATCATAGAAAAAAGACAATTCTCTGTTTGAGTAAATTAAAGGCTCCAGTGTAGAAAATCAAAAGTCGAAGGAAGAAAATCAAAAGTAAAAGGGAAAACTCTTATCTAAAACTGGATTTTAATGGTGGAAACCTATAACAAAATCATCAAGCTTTTCAACTTTAAACTGTCAAAATTCTACTTTCATGAACATAATTCTACTTTCTACTATCAACTTTTGACTTTCTTTCAATTTTTGACTTTCTACTTCAGTTTTTCTACTCTCAAATTTTTAATATAGATTTTCTCAAATACTATGGTAGTGGCCATGTAATTTTCACCCTATCATAACACAACATTACAACGGTATTAGTGACAGCATACGGCAAAATAGATTTGGATATTATTGTATGATTGTTGTCGGAACATGATGTTATCATCAACCTATCGCTTAGTCTCTTTCTGTAAGACACAGAAATATATAATTTTGCTAGCACTATTGTAGGTATCATTACATAAAGAATTGTTGATTAAGGTTTTAATTAAGTTTAATTTATCGAGCTGTCTGCTCTTTAGCCACGCCTCCTAGGTGGCACTCTACTACAAGTGTTTTACCCCTCTAGAGGGTAATTTGATTCCTGCAACCCCATAGGAAGAATGGTTTCGTGCCTTGGCACAATGCGCTGCAAGCTCAAGCGAGTGCCAGCTCTCACGTAGCCAGCATACTTTCTTTGTTTAACTTCTTTGTCCAAGTTACATATAGTTATTATGTCGAAGGACCGACGATTAAAATGCCGTCGGGCAGTACCTGCACGTTTTACAGATCTATTAGAAGTTTCTGACCCTGATTCGCACGCCGGTGCAGGACAGAGAGAGAATACTTATAATAATGAAAATGGAGACTTGGCATTCACTCGGCTGGTCACGGAATGTCGGCTCTCACACCACACAATGGCAACTTTGGCCCAAATGGGATTTGATTGTATTAAGGCCCTGGCTCTGTTGGACGTGGAAGATCTCGCCAACGTAGATATCAATAAAGGCCAAAGAAAACTCTGCTTGTTTGCGGCACAGAAAGTGGCATTGGTTCAGACACAACAAACAGAAGCACAAACTGAATGCCACGAAAATTTGGCGGGTCCGGATGTAGCACATGCAAATATGGCGGATAATTGAACCAGCGGCTGCCAGGCAGGATACGCCCACATTTTTGAGAGATGGATAGAGAACAAGCTAAAAAGAAAGTGATTTTTCCTACAATCAAGGGCCATAATTCAGGAAATTACAATTCGATATGCGCAAATATCAAAAGGAACCGAGATCTTTGGGTTATAAACTTACATTTCAAGTTTCAACAAAATTGGATAACAAACGGCTGCCAGGCAGGATACGCCCACATTTTCGAGAGATGGATAGAGAACAAGCTAAGAAGAAAGTGATTTTTCCTACAATCAAGGGTCATAATTCAGGAAATTACAATTCAATATGCGCAAATCTCAAAAGGAACCGAGATCTTTGTATTATTAACTTACATTTCAAGTTTCAACAAAAACAGATAAAAATTGTGACTTCTATAGGGTCCACAACCTTGATATACCCTATTTTTACGCTATTTGAGAACGGAGGGCGGCCATTTTATCTGTCAGTTTTGGGCCGATTTTCACGAAATTCGAACTCAGTCGTCCTTAGGGTGTAACGGTGATACAATAATATGGTTGTTTAAATCGGATAAACATGATTTTTCGTACAATCAGGGGCCATAATTCAGGAAGTTACGGTCCGATATATGCGCGAATTTCGAAAGGAACCAAGATCTTTGGGTTATAAACTTACATTTCAAGTTTCAAAAAAATCGGATAAAAATTGTGACCTCTATAGGGTCCACAACCTTGACATACCATATTTTTACGCTATTTGTAGACTGTTCACAAACAATTGTGGATGGACGGAGAGGGGCGATGACAATATACGTCCACATGAAAATGTGGGCGTATAAAAACTGTCTAACAATATGAGAGGCGGGGCGAATGTTCTGGTACAGGTTACAGGGGACAGCAGCAATCAAGCCCTCCCCCCTATCGTCAACGATGTTTCATGGAATGACCCACAGATTTTCCTACGAAAGGTGGCCATGCAAGGTAAGATGTTCCTGGACATTGTTGATTTTATCCCCCACGGATCATTCTCGAATGTCGAGGACGACAATTTCACCTTGAGCCAAACGACAGCGAGAGGCAATGATCTTGTTATCAAGAGAGCACACCCAAGGAAACCCAATAGCGTCTGGCAAACATTGCCATCCTGGTCAATTTTATGGATTCCACGTGTGTGAACATTAAAGACTATCTCGCTTACTCTACACAAATTTTGGAACTGTTTGTGCGATTTGACAGGATCTCCGTTTTATTCTACGATAGGGAATACCGGCAGCTCCAGGCTAACCATAACCTCCGATGGGGTGTCATGGTCACCCATCTACAAACTTTGCACCTCCAACCAAAGACAACCGGTAGTAGTCATGCGACAGGAAAATCGGGGAACGGAAAGCGCCCTATAAATGGGCCATCACACAGTGTTTATTCCCCTGCAGGAGAGGTAATTTGTAGAAATTACAACTCCTGGCGGGGATGCAGCCTTTTGGAGTGTAGGTTCAGGCATGTGTGTTTTATACCCGGGTGTTTTCAGTCTCACTCCGCCACTACACATGCCCCGGATTTCTCACTGAAATCTCACTGAAATTTCAGTAAAATCTAATTGAAATTTCAATAATATTTTGACCAAATCTCTCACTGAAATTTTATTGAGATTTCACTGACATTTCAATAATATTTTGACTAAATCTCTCACTGAAATCTCGTTGAGATTTTACTGAAATCTTGTTGAGATTTTACTGAAATCTTGTTGAGATTTTACTGAAATCTTGTTGAAATTTTACTGAAATCTCATTACTATTTCAAAGTTTACCTTGACATTCTTCGCAAAATATGCAGGTGCCTAACTTTTACGTCAGCCTTTGATCTAACGTTCTGGGCAGCCTGTCTTGTAGCGTTCTTTTCCTTCTACGAAAATCCAATTTACTGCCTGATACTTGTACTTACGTTAATTGTTTATGCCGCACTGATTTCCATTTTTCTCATAATATTTGCTATTTACATGTTTACTGGCCAAGGTAATCCAGTTTCAACAGCGAGAACTGAGAGTACCTATCCTAGCTATCCCTAACTCGCTGCTTTGTCCCGTGACCGCCTGTCGCTTAGCTTTCCGCACCAGTTAGCATTCACTTTCCTTGACAGTGGGGTGCTTAAACCCCTCACCTACCCCATCTTTGTCGCCAAACTCCGCCACACCCTCGCCTTGGCAGGCATCAACCCTTCCGACTATGCAGGCCACAGCTTTCGTCGGGGTGGGGCCTCTTTCGCCTTGCAATGCAATATCCCCGCGGACCTGATCCGCATTCAAGGTGACTGGGCCAAAATCGTGGCCCAGTCACTATCCTAAATAACAATTTTAAAAACCACACTGTATATGTATATTTAAGGTTTGGACACTTTGGGACTTTGTTGTTAAAAAGAAATGCATGTTGATTAATTATATTTGTTTTCTCAAAAAAATGAAATACAGCAGTAAAACAAAAGCTTGTTTGGGGGACTTTACCAATGGGGGAAAGCCAAAGGACCTGGAGAAAACCCATGAGATTTGACAGATGACCCTACTGATTGTCACCTACAATCTGGGAATTGAAACCATGCCACTTGACTCAATGACATACCTTATGGAGAACGCATGTCTTACGACTTTAGACCATTTGACATCAGGTGTTCCGAACTAGTTGGTATAACCTGTCCCGTTCTTTACACCTGTCAATACTTTTAGATAACTGGATTTTAGAAGCTGAAACTCCTGGGTAGAAGATAACAAGACCACCATCATTAAAGTCACTAGCCCAGTGATTTAAACACAGGACATTCGTTTCATTTTCCTCGCACAAAAGAAAAGTTAAATCATACCAAATCAAAACTGTGTTAATTATATACTAAAGTAATTACAAAAATAATGCACAGATTTTAGATAAGGTATTATAGAACCGGAACTTAGTCGCCCACTTTGGTGGCATAAGACTGCTCCCGTGGAGTAAATCCAAATCCCAAGCAGCTACCAATGGTGTAGCCTTAAACTGACGCAAAAGCGATTGCACGTCACTCCCATATTGGTAGAAGAGCTCTTTATGGGTGGGGTGCTCTTATCAACTTTAGCATATATCTTATTAAAGTTTGCCATCACAACTAATGGGATCGATGCCTAGATGTTTGAAAATAGGTAGATAATTGCAATGTTTCGAGGCCTACAACTTTTGATTCAATACATTCATATCAATGATGTCTGACATGACTGCATATAAATTCACAAGCCCCAAAAACTCAGAACACCTGATACAACTTCTTATTCGAAGAATTAATCCAGCTAACTACATGTAGCTTTTGTTCAACTGCTGAATTTCGAGATTACATGAATAACATCAAATATAATTTACTTTTGTAAGCAAAATGTTTCATTACTTTGAAAAAACAAATAATTAAAGATGCCTTTCCATTTACAAACTGGGTTATTTGATAATATATGTGACCCCCCATAGCATACTGAATCACAATGAGGAAATTTTGAAAATTGAGTTATTGTTACTTTCACATTCTCTAACTCATTACCTTCAATTTGATGTATAGGTTGTTTGAATTGGGCAAAAATTGACTGAGAAGCTACCCAACTCACAAAAGTAAGTTTTGAGAAAAAGCAAGTCAAAGATTTGTTATGTTCCAAAACAAAATCCCATTGCAACCAGGCCATTTATCTGCTGTTTTGTCGTTGAATATATCTTTCCATGGGTTTTCAGGGGTGCTGAAGACGATCAGAATTAATTATTTTTTCTGCCACTTATCAGAGTGAATCGCATGAAGTTACCCAAAAACATTATCGCCAAAACCAAATATTTATCGATAATGTCTTGCTCGCGGTGTCTGGGCCAATCAGCAAACGAGTTGTGTAGACTGCATGGCAACTGGCGGAGTTTATTTATATTTTTGGGGGGTTTTAAAACTCGATTGTATCCATTCAAAATCAATTCATCGACAATACTTTGACCATATCTGTAAACTAGAGATGCTCCGCTTTACAACGATGCCAATTATTATGCAAGAGGAATGACCAGTCGTCCTGCTGCGAGCGAAGAAAAATAACTAATTTCGCCAAGAATTTTAAGAATGTTTTATTGATATTTTGATCTTTTGTGTCGATAGATAGTATATTTATAGACTCATTTTTGTGAAAATCTCAATTTCGATCAAAATCAATATTTTCACTTATTTTATCTTTATCTCATTATTGATTTGCGCGCATTCCGACCCATTTAGCTGCGGTCGGTCACATATTTGGACTAAAAACATATTTAACTACTAAATCTATCAACAATTTGCTTCAAATCCCTCTCAAAACATTGTATTCGTGAAAAAATACCCCATGCTCCATTGCATATTAAAGACAATGTTGTCTTTAATCGCGGTCAATTTACCATAAATAACTATCCCCTGCCCACATCTTTTTCCGTGGTTTTTATCTCAGATGAAGTTGTACGCTTAAAGGACAATATTGATGCCAGTCATTATCACATATGTGATAGAACTGGTTAAACACAATAGATGCATAATCAATGCTTGAACAATCCGAAGTGACGAATGCTACAGGAAAACACAAGTTATCCCTCTATATAACTGACTGAAGTGACAAGTGATAACAGATACATGGGCGAATTTCTGCTCACTTATAATTTTTTCGAAGACCAAAAGTTGTTATATGAGACTGTAAGAGTATATCTGTCAATTCAAAAGATAGGTTGCCAGGCAACGAAACATACGCCCACAGCAGCTAAATCGTCCGGGCAGTCAACAAGTGTTGTCGCATATTTTTACTTCTTTCGGTAATGAAACATTTATAATACACTAAAATCTGATTAAGAGTAACAACTCATGAAGTAATTATCAGAAAACCATTAGAATTTGTTTGGTTTTTATGAAGTTCTGCCCCATGCTAACGTTTAGTATACAAAACTTTTAATATCATGGATTTAGCTGTTCAAGTCATAAAAATTCATTGAAAATCAATAAACTTGTTCGTCTCAAGCTCTTAAACTCTGTGTATCAATCTGAAGTCAACTCTGGCAGAAATTATCTAAAATCACTGAAAATCAATAGGCATCATCGTCTCATGACCTTAAACACTGTGTATAAATTTAAAGTGAATCGGATATTAACTTTGACCTGTAGAGCGTCCACAAGAATTTTTAAAGTGATCAAGGGCCATAACTCTGGCAGTAATTATCGGAAATGGCTGGAAATCAATAGGCATCATCGTCTCATGACCTTAAACACTGTGTATAAATTTCAAGCCAATCGGATATTAACTTTGGCCTGTAGAGCATCCACAAGATTTTTTGAAGTGATCAAGGGCCATAACCCTGGCAGTAATTATCGGAAATTGCTGAAAATCAATAGGCTTCTTCGTTTCATGGCCTTAAACACTGTATATAAATTTAAAGTCAATCGGATATTAACTTTGGCCTGTAGAGCATCCACAAGATTTTTTGAAGTGATCAAGGGCCATAACTCTCGCAGTAATTATCGGAAATCGCTGAAAATCAATAGGCTTTTTGGTCTCATGACCTTAAACACTGTGTATAAATTTAAAGTCAATCGGATATTAACTTTAGCCTCTAGAGCGTCCACAAGATTTTTTGAAGTGATCAAGGGCCATAACTCTGGCAGTAATTATCGGAAATTGCTGAAAATCAATAGGCTTCTTCGTTTCATGGCCTTAAACACTGTATATAAATTTAAAGTCAATCGGATATTAACTTTAGTCTCTAGAGCGTCCACAAGCAATTGTGGACGCCGGCCGGCCGGCCGGACGGACGCGACGACAATATACGACCACATTTCAATGTGGGCGTATAAAAAGTAATTGAATGTCATTAGATAACAGAACACGAGAAAAATAGAAACAGTCCGTAACCTTCATGTGTGTTAATTCATTCTATACTTATAAAAACATGGTAATGCACAGACTTTTTCTATTTTTCTCTCATGTTCTCTTAACTATAGCTAGTGACAGTCAATTTTTTTTATGAATTGTGAGATATCCTTTCACAGTCTCACACAACAACTTTTGGTCTTCGAAGGAATTATTAGTGAGCAGAAATTCTCCCATGTATCTGCTATCACCCGTCACTTCAGTTAGTTATATAGTGGGATAACTCTTGTTTTCCTTTTGCGTTCGTAACTTCCGATTGTTGAAACATTGATTACGCATCTATCGTAGCAATGATCACTGTGATAAAATAATATTTGGAATGTGTTTAACCAGTTCTATCACATATATGATAATGACTGGCACCAATATTGTCCTTTAAGTCTATCACTTTTTCCACATTCGCTCATGTTTACCATCAAGTTTATCAACATATACATCAACGGCTCCCTAACGCAAAAGAGGTCAGACAATCTACACATGCAACCATTGACATCACTCGAGCAGATAGCCCTTAATCGTCGGGGTGTCAGTGAGTGACACCCACTCATTGGGTGTTTTTCAATAAATCCAGTATTTTTCTAGTAATATTGGGTGTCTTTACTTTACTTTACTTGCCATACTTTTATTTGAAATAACCACCCGATAAATACTTTTGTGGGAATGTATCTTTAATCAACATATCTCTTTAATGCCGGCTTTATTTATCTATTTAGCTTCCTGTATGAACACTTTTCATTAGCCCAGCTGGTGCAGAAAAGTAGAACGTTAAACTCCAGTTTATTCATTCACTCCTGTATGATGTAATGAGACCTACCAGAGCGCTAGCTAAATTATGTATTTTTTTGTCTTACAGAAACATACTATGGTGATAGGGCAAAGCTAACAACACGTCATGACAACAATCACACGATAATATCCAAGTCTACTTTGTCGTATGCTCTCACTAATACTGTCGTTAAGTCGTGTTGTCGTGTTATGAAAATGACGAAAACTACATGGCCACTATCAGTTACCACAGCATTTGAGAAAATCTGTCTTAGAAAATCGTGAGTAGAAAATCGGAAGTAGAAAGTCAAAAGTTAACAGTAGAAAGCAGAAAGTCAAAAGTCTAAAGGTGATAGTAGAAAATAGAAATTCTGTCCATGAAAGTAGAATTATGACGATTAAAAATTAAAAAGCTTGATGTTTTGCAGATTAAGTGCATATAGTTATAGGTTTTCACCATAAAATTACCCTATTAGATAAGAATTTTCCCATTTACTTCAGATTTCTACTTTTTACTTTTGACGTTCTCCTTTTGACTTTCTGCTTATAACTCTAGATTGCATTTACACCCAGATACCACACCATACCAGTGGTCCAGTGGAATTGTGCCTGACAAAGAGTGAATTTGTGTCTGAAATTGTCAGTGATATGTGGCTTATTTCCAGGCTTGGTACTCATAATTATGTTATTATAAATGCTAGGAGTTTTCATTGAAGAATTTATTGTTTTGTAAATCACTCCATACTTACATAAAATCTTCACTTTTAAAAGGTGCTGGTTGTGGATTAACTTCTATATCATCTTGTATTCTATTAGAAGACAATCCATCCATTTGTCGAACCTGTAATACAAATAAATTTAAGGATCATTAATAAGTTTTAAAAATCTTGGCTACTGACAGTATTTTAGAATGACCCACCACCTGGCAGTAGTTTCAATATCATTTGTCTTAAATAAGAACTAAACCATATGTAATGGATAAAGTACGAAAAGTGTTAGTTCCGAACCAAACTGGTTTAAAGGACAATATTGGTGTCAGCCATTATCACAAATGAGATATAACTGGTTAAACATGTTCCAAATATAAGTTTAAAACAGAGATCATTGCTACGATAGATGCGTAACGAAGATTTGAAGAAATGAAAGTGAGAAAAGCAATAGGAAAACACAAGTTATCCTTCTATATAACTGACTGAAGTAATGAGCGATAACAGATACACAGGCAAATTTCTGCCCTGAATATCGTAGGCTTTTTTCCCCACATGACCTCAATGTTTCACACCAAATTTGACAAAAAAGTATGTAGGCTCTATCACGTACACGATCGATAGCCCATTTTGCAGAAACTTTTTCTGAAAGTGTTGACGGGGAACTAGTCCAGGCAAGATTGCATAAGTGCGGGCAGTTGCTGCAAGAGAAATGCTGACTGGTTTACGGTCGGTCCAGAATAATATTATCACCAAAAAAAGTCCCAGTTCGAAATCCTTGTCAAAATGGTTTTGGCTTGTAACTTTCATTTGGAATCTCTTCCAGCTCACTGTGGTAGCAGCTAGCGGGTATGTCAACTGGGCCACTCTTGGTCACTGCGGAATCTGGTCATGCCTATTGAAGCATGTGGCAAATTTATTTCACAAAATGATTCAAATGTTAAGATATAGATACAGTATCACCTGTTTGTCAGATATGCAGTGAACCATTTGATAATGAACAGCCCACAGTCATTCTGAAAATAATGGGTATTTGAGGCTTTAATAAGGCAGCCAAGCTGAGAAATTATCATCTTAATTTTACGCTTGGTGACAAATACCATGTTGAATGTCGCAAATTTCACTATCATTCAACTAATATTGCACAATGTTGTAAAGCTGTTGAAGTGGAAGAGCCTGTATGAGGTCTAGATGGTCCGTGGTGCCAAAGTTCAGTTTTGCAGACCGTTGTCTTTTACATTGTCTGAAGGAAAGATTAGTAGACAGCTGTTACAACAGTAAACAGTAGACTCGCAACAACTAGTTTGACGACATGCCAAGACAGGACAAATGACGACTGGACATTAAAAAAACAAGCCAACAGTGAGGCTGATGTCCCCCGCCGAAATCCCAAAATAAACAGATGACACATAGTAATGAATCGCACATTTATTTTTTTCAAAAGTATCAAGCAATCAAATCGTATGAAATCGTAAATGGCATTAGGCATCACACACTGACAATTTTATGAAAATCGAATAATAATTGACACTTTTATGGACAAAAAACCTTGAAAAGTTACCTGTTGAAAATCGTCTATTTCTCCGCAACTGAACAAGTTAGAAACCATTTTGTGATATCTATATGATCGTATGGGTTCATTCTATTAGTTGATTAGAATCAAATATCAAAATTTTAAACAAACAACAAATACGACTCATTTCAATAAATTATTTGTTTCTAAGGCTATAAATACAGTTTTTGCCCAAATTTCGTCATTTCCGGTGACATGGAAATGTTAAATTGAGTTGAACTAGTCACAATTGACATTACGCATCAAATGGTGTCACTTTTATGAAAATCCAATAATAATTGACTCTTTTACAGACACAATAGCGTAAAGAGTGACTCATGCAAAATTGACCATTTCTCGGCAACTGCTCATATTACAAACTAATTTTGAGATAGATTCTCTTCGTATGGATTAATGTTACAAGTTTATGAAAGTTGCGAAGAAATATTTTAAAATATGAAAAGCCTGAATGGGTTGTAAATAGCTCATTTTTTCACCTTTTTTCACCTTTAAATCAAAATGACCCTAAAACGAAATCGAAATTAAAAAAACTGAGCCCGATTTTTTCTGCCCCTTTACAGGGCACACACTTTCAGTCATACCTGATTTGAAAAAAATAATATTTGCTTTCAAAAAGTGGTACCGAACTGTAAAAATTGTAGTTTTTGCTAAATTTACGTCACTTCCGTTGCCGAAAGGTAACTTTACCGGTAACAAAAAAAATGACATTTTGGATCACGGAGCATATGAACTTTGTTTTATACAAATCGAGCAATAAATAATTAATCCAGGACTGAAAAACTGAATTAGCCAATGGCAGCCAAGGAAAATTACGATGACAAAAAATGGTGCCATTTTTGGTCAAATCAGATGGCTCTTTAACCCTGGGTAAAATACCACATTAAAATATTCATAAATAAAAAAGTTTTTTGTCAAAATTTAGATTTTCAAAATTTGGCGCCTAATATCTCTGACGATTCGTGGATTCTGGCTATATCAAAATGTATTCAATGTTAAAATCCGACGATTATTGTTAATATTACGGCAATATTTCAAAAATCGACAAATTCAACGATTTCGGACATTTCGCATTGTCGCAGAACGTTCGAAATAGCTTTAATCTCTATGTCACACCCACTTTTCCAGTAAAACCGAAGACATCGAATCAATCCGACAAGTAGTTTCTGAGATACAATCAAATTGGAAAAAAAAACATAATAATAAGAATAACTAGAACTGCGACACAGTAATGACGGGTTTCACGGGTGCCCCGTTACCCTTGAACATATGTCTCTTCCGGTACCGATGAAACCATTAAAAAGGTTTCCATATAAGCATTGCACACACCAAGTAAAATGTACGCAGAATCAACCAAATCCAGCAATATCAATTCATTGTATACATTTGTTACATTTGTTAAATTAGTTTTATGAAATCAGAAATGGCATAAGGCATCACATGGTGAAAATTTTATGTGTAAATCGAATAATAATTTCCACTTTCATAGACCAAAAACCTTGATCAGTGACTTGTAGAAAATCGTCTATTTCTCTGCAACCGTACAAGTTAGAAACCATTTTTTGTTATCTGTATGTGATCGTATGGGTTCAATCTATTTGTTGATTGGAATGAAATATCATACGTATGCAGAACGTTCCGATTATGACCCTATCGGACTTTTGTCGATATACAGTGCCATTTGTTTGGCCACTCTTGATACTTTTGACCGTTGTACGGTGGTTTCATACCGGGGGGGGGGTTAACACGCGCGCGTGCTGTATCATAAAGTCTGTCATTGAGTCGACTGGCGTGGTTTCGAATCCCCGGTTGTACGTGACAATGAGTAGGGTCGCCTGTCCAACCTCGTGGGTTTTCTCCGGGTCCTCCGGTTTCCTCCCACTAACAAAGACCCCTACGCGCAAGGGAATTATTGAAATAAAATTAAACCAAATGTTAGTCTCGAAATGATCTAGTTTATGTCAAGTGGACGTTAAACCCCATTTCTCTCTCTCTCTCTCTAATTGTTCATACCTTTCTAACCAGGGTGGGGGGTTGAATGGCTGAGTGGTTAGCGTGAGCGCGCTGTATCATAAAGTCTGTCATTGAGTCGACTGGCGTGGTTTCGAATCCCCGGTTGTACGTGACAAGGAGTAGGGTTGCCTGTCCAACCTCGTGGGTTTTCTCCGGGTCCTCCAGTTTCCTCCCACTGCTAAAGACCCCTACGCGGAAGCGAATTATAGAAATAAAATTAAACCATATGTTAGTCCCGAAATGACCTAGTTTGTGTCGAGTGGACGTTAAACCCCATTTCTCTCTCTCTCTCTAATCAGGGTAATTATATAACTGTTAAATTAAACAATGGATATCTCCTACCTCTTAAATGATTTATATAATTAGTAAATAATTATTATTATCTAATGATTGTTGTTTTGTGACATATATAGTATAACCAATATATACATTATACTTTTATAATCATTATGATACTGTGCATTAGTCGTGTTTATGTTCTTATGATTTGAATTTCTTCATGCAATATTTGTAAATCGCCAGTAGGAATAAATGTTTCTTATATAGATACATTATGTTGGCTGGAATTTGCACGGTAGGCTACAGCCTTTGGGACTGCGCTGTATCATATGTTCTGTCATTGAGTCAACTGGCTAGGTTTCGATTCCCCGGTTGAACGTGACAAGCCTGTCCAACCCCGTGGGTTATCTCCGGTTTCCTCCAACTGCTAAAGACTCCTACGCGCAAGCGAATTATTGAAATAAAAAACAGTAAACCATATGTTAGTCCCGAAATGATCTCTAAACATTGAATATTCAATGAAATATCGCCAATTTTCTGGTTTCGTGCACGTTAAAGATTTGACGTCACTAATTAAAATTTAATATTACTTACAGATAGAGTCCATGCTCAAACAACGTCATGCCTTTTATCACAGGTGCAATATTCGATACCACTGTACGATACTACTGCAAACTTAATAAATTGGACTTTCTTATAAACAGCGCGAGCCGTCGATTTCTGTCCAGATGATTACCGGTATAAGATAATTTTGACACAGAAGCAACAATATTAATTCAAAGGCTAATTATTACACACAGCAATCAACTATTTCTGTTACAGGGTCACTAAACCCATATTTTGGAAAGAAGAAAACACTCATAGTTGAAATAATTTCAGTTCAAATATACTATTCAAAAAAAGTAGGGGATATTTGATTTTTAAGTGTTATTAAAGTCACCTAATGAAACTGACGAAGAAACAAATGACAAAATGAAATGAAGTTCACATTCATCGATTTATTCCAAATGATCGTTAGACGAAGTAAGGCACAGACTGACCATTATAAGGGTAAAATGATACCCGGGGTCAAACAGCAAAGTTACCACAGCATCACAACCAAGTCAGTAACGGGTAAATCCTCCTCTGTTTGCCAAACAAGCATTGATCCGACGTGGCATACTCCTAATGAGACGCCTAAGGTCATTTTGGTCCAGATTGTCCCATTCCTGTTGCAACGCAGCAGCAAGTTCTTGGACATTGGCAGGACGTTGTTGACGTTGACGTAACCTC